CGCCCACACAAACACATGCAGACGCACTTTTGAGCGGTAGCGGCCTCGCGCGCGGCGACGAGGCGGAGTAAGTCCAAGCGGCGGAGCGGGCGCGCGGTACCGGGCACTCAAACGGGATCGCTTTGGATCGCCGCGCTAGCCGCCATAGCAGCTCAGGCCAATGGCCGTCCGGGCACGGATGGGACACACACGCACACACACAGCCGCACACACTTTTCGGTGGTCGCGGGCTGGGCTTGGCCGCAAGCAATCAGTCGGTCCCGCGGGCGTGCGCGGGCGAGCGCCGGCTAAGCAGCAGAATGTTGCCTGGCCCTCACGGGGCAGTGGGGGGGCAAGGGGCGCAGCAGCCGCAACGAGGGGGCGCCTGAGGGGGGGGATTTTTTTTTACTATGTGACGTGCGCTGCTTTCTCGCGCCGCGACTGTTTTGTTCGTTGCTGTTCCCTCTTATTGTTATTGTTTGCCCCTTTTCTTGTTCTTATCATGTTACAGGGTGTTCGCTTTCTCTCTCTCTCTCTCTCTCTCCCTCTCTCTCTCTCTCTCTCTCTCTCTCCTCCTCTCCTCTCCCTTCCTCTCTCTCTCCTCCTCCCTCTCCTCCTCCCTCGTCTCTCTCCTCCCTCTCTTGACTCTCTCTCTCTCTCTCTCCTCCTCCTCCTCTCCTCTCCTCCCATTATATGTACCCCGCCCCGCCACAAAAGGAATCTAATATATACATATATATATATATATATATCCGCTTCCCCCGTGTCCACCTCCGCCTCCTACTCTTCCTCCTCCTCATCATATTTCTCCTTCTAATCCACACAATGAATCCATGTGGAGGCCCCTCCACATAAGGCATCGATATGTGAAAGGCCTTCCACATGAGGAATCAATGTGAGCAGGTTCCTTCACATAAGGAAGTCATCTATGAAGGCCCCTCCCACATAAGGATTCAACATGTTGGAGGCCCCTCCACACAAGATATCAATATGGAGACCCCTTGCACATAAGGAATCAATATGCGGCGGTCCCTTCACAGACAAACTCAAATATGTGGAGGCCCCTCCACATATCGAATCTATATTTGAAGGCCCATCCACATAAGAAATCCATGTGGAGACCCATTGGACCTAAGACATGAATATGTGGAAGTCCTTCCACAGACGAAATCAACATGTGGAGGTCTCTTCCACATAAGGAATCAATATGTGGAGGATTCCCCCCCACAAGAGGAATCAATATGCGCGATGCCCCGTGCACATGAGGAAACATATGGCGGAGGCCCCTCCACAAAAGGGAACAATAGCATCTTTCTCCTCCTCATCTTTCTCCTCCTACTCCTTCTGCTCCTTCTTATCCTCAACCCCTGCGCCAGAGCGGGAGGATGAGGGAGAGGAGCAGGAGGAGGAGGAGGAGGGAAAGGAAATCGCCCACCGCAAAAGAACTCAATTGGTGGAGGTCCCTCCACAGACGGAATCAACATGTGGAGGCCCCTCAACTTAAGGAATCGATAATTTGAATGCCCATCCACATAAGGAATCAATATGTGCAGGCCCCTTCCAACATAAGGAATCAATAAGTGGGAGGACCATCCACAAAAGAAATCAATATGGAGATCCCTTGCACATAGGGAATCAATATGTGGAGGTCCCTCCACAGACGGAATCAACATGTGGAGGTCCCTTTCACATAAGGAATCAATATGTGGAGGATCCCCCACAAAAGAAAACAATATCATCTTTCTCCTCCTCATCTTTCTCCTCCTACTCCTTCTGATCCTTCTTCTCCTCAACCCCTGCGCCGGAGTGAGAGAAGCAGGGGGAGGAGGAGCAGAAGGAGGAGAAGGAAAAGAAGATCGCCCGCCACAGAACGAATCAATCTGTGGAGGTCCCTCCACAGACGGAATCAATATGTGGAGGCCCCTCCACATCAGGAATCGATATTTAAAAGCCCATCCACATAAGGAATCCATATGTGCAGGCCCTTTCACATACAAAATCATTATGTGAAGGCCCCTTCCAAATAAGGAATGAACAAGTTGGAGGCCCCTCCACATAAGAAATCAATATGGAGATCCTTGCACATAAGAAATCAACATGTGGAGGTCCCTCCACAGACGGAATCAACATGTGAAGATCCCTTCAACATAAGGAAACAAAATGTGGAGGATCCCCCACAAGAGGAATCAGGCCCTTTCCACATAACCATTCAACGATTGGGAGGCCCCTCCACACAAGATATCATTATGGAGGCCCCTTGCACATATGGAATCATTATGTGGAGATCCCTCCACAAATCGAATCAATATGTGGAGGCCCCTACACATAAGGAGTCTATGTTTGAAGGCCCTCCCACATAAGGAATCACTATGTGCACGCCCCTTCGCATAAAGAGATAATATGTGAAGGCCCCTTCCGCATAAAGAATCTACAAGTGGGAGGCCCCTCCACATAAGAAAACAATATGGAGACCCCTTGCACATAGGGAATCAATATGTGGAGGTCCCTCCACAAACGGAATCAACATGTGGAGGTTCCGTCCACATAAGGAATCAATAGAGTGCGATTGCCAAAACTTATTTTTCTTTTCCATCTTTTTTAATGGAAACGCGTCTTGGAGCCACGAAACATGTGACACTACCCTCAGAAAAAGCCAGTGACACTACCCAAAAAAACAAAAATCAAAGGTTTTCGGACCTCGCACTCCTGGCGGGCCCTCCTGGAGTCCGGAGCCGGAATGGGCAGTGGCCGAAAACCTTTGATTTTATTTGTTTTCCAATGACAGTCACAGGTTCCCTTATCTTAAAGCCACGAAACCTGTGACACTACCCAAAAAACAAAAACAAAAAACAAAAACAAACAAAAAAACGTGACACCAACCAAAAAACAAAAATCAAAGGTTTTTCGGATTTCGCACTCCTGGCGGGCCCTCCTGGGGTCTGGACCCCAGGAGGGCCCGCCAGGAGTGCGAGGTCCGAAAACCTTTGATGTTTAATTTTTTTTGGGTAGTGACACTGTTTTCTTTGTTTTTTGGGGGTGGGTGGGTTTTTGGTAGTGTCAAAGGTTTCGTGGCTTTAAGATAAGGGAACCTGTGACTGTCATTGGAAAACAAATCAAATCAAAGGTTTTCGGCCACTGCCCATTCCGGCTCCAGACTCCAGGAGGGCCCGCCAGGAGTGCGAGGTCCGAAAACCTTCGATTCTTGTTTTTTTGGTAGTGGCACTGTTTTTTGTTGCCTTTTTTGTTTTTTTTGTAGTGTCACAAGTTTCGTGGCTCTGAGATAAGGAAACCTGTGACTGTCATTGGAAAACAAATGAAATCAAAGGTTTTCGGCCCCTGCCCATTCCGGCTCCAGACTCCAGGAGGGCCAGGAGTGCGAGGTCCGAAAACCTTTGATTTTTGTTTTTTTGGTAGTGCCACTGTTTTTTTGTATTTTTTTGTTTTTTTGTTTTTTTTGGTAGTGTCACATGTTTCGTGGCTCCAAGACGCGTTTCCATTTTTTAAAATAGGTTTCGGCAATCGCACTCCTGGGATGCCCTCCCGCCCATTCAGGCCCCAGACAATAGGGGAACCAAGAGGACAAGAGACAATAGGGGAACCAAGAGTACACAAGACAATATGGGAGAACCAAGAGGACAAATGACAATGGGGAAACGAAGAGGACAATAGACAATGGGGAAACCAAGAGGACAAGAGACAATGGGGAAACCGAGAGGACAACAGCTACACCAGCATCATCGTTAACGTCTGCGTTAGCATCTACATATACAACTACATCAACACGTATATGAAAAACACAACGCTGATCTACGCATGCACCGAAGACACATCACGTCACATAGTCTTAAAAGTCACCCTTACGGGGGGGGGGGGGGGCGGCTGATGGGGCCAGCGGGCACGCCAAACGGGCGGCCGGGGGAGCAGCGAGGCGGCCGTGGGGGCAGCGGCCGCCAGACACGCACACACACACTGCCCTTTTACCCGAGTGGTCCCAACAATCTGGGCGCGAACGGGCCGGTGATGTAACCACTGGAGGGTCACACTTGGGAGGCCCAAGCACAATACCTACTACATCGCGATGGCCATAGGGCTCTGAGAGAGAAAAAGCAAACGCCAACCCCCGAACAGCCATTTCACACAAGGTCTCACCAAATTAGGCGCGAGCAAGTCTGTGATATAACGTCTGGCGGGTCCTGCTACATCACCACAATCATTGGGCTCTGACGCGCGATACACCTACCTCCCCAAAAGGCCACTCTACCAGAAAGATCATGGCAATTTGCGGGCGAGCAGGCTCGTCACATACCCTGTTGCTGCTCCCTTTTTGGATGCCCCTGAGGCCCAAGTGCCATGCCTGCTGCATCGTGGCGATCATGGAACTCTGAAGAGAGAGACGCGTCCACCCCACAAAACAAACATACCGATGTGACCCCTGCAGGTCCTCCTCGGCAGGCCCCAATGCCATGTCTGCTACTTCGCGATGGACTTGGGGTAAGGAAGAGCCCCCTGTGTGAGCCCAAGGTTAGCTTATGACGCATCCCCATGATACGCATACGAGTGAGTCTGAATGCGAGTAAGTCCGACTGTGAGTGAGTCTAAGGATGAATGAGCCTGACTGTGAGAGAGTATGCGTATAAGGTCGTCTGAGTGTGTGTGCGTGTGCGTCTGCGTGAGAGTAAGTCTCAATATGAGTGAAGATTAATGAATATGAGTCTGAGTATGAGGGAGAAAGAGAGCACAAACGAAAGGTTAAGACGGGATAGTGAAGGTGGATCGGAGGTGTCCCACTAATAACAAGAACCCCACCTAGGATCTGGCATTACCAAACGAACATTCCATATCCCAATGTAACATCTTATGTTCCGTGAACTTGTGCGATTTGATGTGCAGCTATTCCGCTGCTGGAACGGTAGGCGATGGTGTCAAACCCGCATCGGGATGTCTGCCCCCGCACGGATGTCAACCGTGGCCCATGGATGTGCACCTGCTACACATAATCCTCACGCGCCCCCCCGTCGTGCCTCCACGGCCCTGCGAAGAGGCTCTTCTGGCAGCAACCCAGTGGCGTGCAGGAAGCACCCCGTCATAGGGCTCGTGCGGTTCCACCTGCCGTGCGGGAAGTCGGGGCAACGCCTCTGGCAACAAATCTACCGGTAGCGTCGATCTAAAAATGTGCTCGTCTCGACATCGGCTCATGTGTTGCACATCCGTGGTCCGAGCGCAACTGCGCTGCAACCCTCAGGACATCGAGCGAGCGCTTGCCATTTACGATCCAGGGTTGCCCCTCCTCCACCCCCCCAATACATATGGAATGAAGTCCCCTCCCCCCCCGCTGGGTTGGGTACGCCTGTGAGCCTCGCGAAGGCCTCGCGAATGAGATCGCTACCCCCCCCTCCCACACGTGTGGTCGTGGCCCTGTGGGTTTTGCTTCGTGGAGAGTGCCGGTGGACCCTCCTCCCTCCCCCTTTGGGTGTGGGGTGGTTCGTCGTCTTTGTCGTCGTCGTCGTCCGTCGTTGGCGGCGTTGGCGTCGGCATCGGCGTCGGCGTCGGCGTCGGCGTCGTTCCCCATCCCATCTGGGGAGGGGGCGGCCTGTGCAACCCTGGGACCCATCCCATCTGGGGAGGGAGTGGGGGCCTGTGAAATCTCGAACCGGGGTCATACATTCATCCTCGTGCTTCCTGCTCCACCTGCCCTTGTGGCTGAATTTGCTCTGAGCCAACGCCTGCTCCGCATGCTAGCACTCTGCCAAACAATTTGGACGAACATCACAACAAAAACGATAACGAAAAATGAAATTAAGAATAAATAAGTCGGAAGGGAACACCAGGAGCGGATTTAGGTGCTGGGGAAATTGGGGATCCGCCGACCCTGTCGGCGTGTGTGAGGGGCTTGTCCGTTCGAGTCATCGTCTGCGTCGTTCGTAAGTCGTCGTCTCTGTCATCCCCTTTCCCTGCGCCCCCCCTTTCCGTGGGCCTGTCGCCGCTCCCCCCCGTTTCCCTGGGCCCTCTTCCTCAATCTCAAGCGCTGGGTCCGTCGCCGCCCCCCCCCCCTTCCCTACGCCCTCCTCCTCAAGCGTGCCAGCCAAAGCAAAGCGAAATCGAGCACCGTCGTAATTGACTCGAAAGGCCAGCCCCTTCCCTTTGATCCCTCCCCCGCCAAGAGGGTGGGTGGGGTGCGGGGGGGGGGGTCCGGGAGGGGTCCTGGGGGGGTCCTGGGGAGGGGTCCCGGGTCAGATACGACTCCCCCCGGGGGGTCCCGGGGCCCAAGACGGGCCAAGAGTGCCCTAAGAGGCTCCCAAGACGGTCCAAAAGGGCCCTGAATCGCCGAACGATCTGTCCAGGACGCCTTGGCGGCCTCCGGACGGTCCAAGAGCCCTGCAAGACGCCCCAAGAGGCCTCCAGGAGCACTCCCAAAAGGGCCTAAAGAGGACAAATCACTGATTTCCCATGGGTGTTTGAAACATTTCCGCGTTTGCGCCTCTTCTGCTTTCCGACGCTCCAAGACGGCTTAAGAGGCCCCCTAGATCGCCCCAGGACGGCCCGAGAGGGCTCCAGCAGGCACCTCAAAACGGCCCAAGTGGGCCCAGGACGGCCCATGAGCAGAGGAATCGTTCGGGGGAGGAATGATATCATGACCATGCACCATGCGTTACAGGCCTCCCTTCCCCTTCCTCCTCCTCTGTAATCAATGCGGGGTGGACCGAAGCGACGGATCATACGTTAAGCTATCCAGCTTGCTCGCGCTATCGGGGCGTTGGATCAGTGTCGGTCCTATCTGATGAACGACATGTGGTCCGTGCGAGAGGTCGCCCCACTGCGCCGAATGTGAGGGACGTGCTGATATGATCTGTGCCGCGGGGTCAACACTCGATGTTCTAAAGGATTTACTCAGAAATCTGCAACACGCTTTTGAAGAAGACGCGTGTGAGCCCAGACGGGAGACTTCTTATGAGCAAAAACCGTTGATTGTTGTGGCAAGGGCAGCACCACCACAAAAAGATCTTAACGATCGCGTTGTCGACCATGTTTGCCCACACCACGGACGTCCAATGATGGATGTCGGGCGCAGCTCACCACCAGTACCTCTGCAAATCGATCATTCATCAAATCGTCTTCGCCCTGCCCGCCACCGGAACCACTGCTCAATCGCATCCCGCTCATACACCTGGCCGTCCACCGCCAGCACCGGATCCTGCGGAGCCAACGAGCAACTCTCTCTCTCTCTCTCTCATTCTCTCACTGGCCAATGAACGTGAAAAAGGAACACACCGCGGACACGGAGAGGACACTAAGACATGACATGTGCGACGAAAACTAATTTTCTTGCGCGAACGAATGACGAACATGGAAAAACCCCACCAGCCCTCTGGGCGTCGGTGGTTTAGAGCGTTTCCTCTTCCACCCCTCCTTCTTCCCCTTCGGGGAAGGGTTTATCACTGTTCCCTATTAGTAAACACCCTCTCCCCCAGGCGACTGGGGGCCAACCAGGGTCCATGCCACCCCCCCCCCACCATCCCTTGTAAAAACAATGCAAAACACACTCTGCCTTCAAATTCGGAACATGCGCAGCCAACCCGATTGCGCAGCCAACCCGATGCGCCCCCCCCCCACCATCCCTGACAAAAAACAGTACAGAGTACACTTGGCGGCGGCGACGGCTGCGGCGGCTGCGGCGGCGGTGGCGGCGGCTGCGGCGGCTGCGGCGGCGGCGGCGGCGGCGGCGGCGGGGGGGCGGCGGCGGCGGCGGCGGCGGCGGCGGCGGTGGCGGCAGCGGCAGCGGCTGCGGCGGCGGCGGGAGTTTGGCAGCGGGGGGCGGCGGCGGCGGCGGCGGCGGCGGTGGCGGCGGCGGCGGCGGTAGCGGTGGCGGCAGCGGTTGCGGCGGCGGCGGCGGTTTGGCAGCGGAGGGCGGCGGCGGCGGCGGCGGATTGGCCCCCAGTAGCTGCCCATCCCAAGACGACTGCTGAATATGCTGAGGCTCGGGCCAGACTCGGGTGCTACGTATGTGTTGGGAGGGCGGGTGGGAGTGAGCGAGACGGCTTGCGGGCGGGGGGGGGGTAACTTGACCCCCCCCCCTCCCCATGGACCTGGAGAGGGGGGGCCGCGAGGCGTCAGAGCGTCCAAAACGGCCTCGGCGAGGAAGCCAAAATCATTGATTTGACTCGGGTTTTGGCCCCATTTTGGCCTCCTGGGGGTGCAAGGCTAATTAATGCTCCGCACTTTTTTGGTAGATCACCTCCAAGATGGCCCCAGGACGCGCCCAGGAGGCCCCAAATGGTCCCAAGATGGCCCCAAGATGGCCCCAAGAGGCCCCCAAGAGGCCCCAAGGAGGCCTCCAAGAGACCCCCAAGAGGCCCCAATAGACCCCCTCAGAGGCACCCAATTTGCTCCAAAAGGCCCCAACGAGAATGCCAAAACGGCCTCGCCGAGGAAGCCAAAATCCCTGGTTTTACTAAGGTTTGTGCCCCATTTTGGCCTCCTGGGGGGGGGGGGGGGCGCTAATTCATGCCCCCCTCTTGCGTGATCGATCTCCTTCAAGATGGCCCCAAGAAGCGCCCAGGAGGCCCCAAGAGGTCCCAAGATGGCCCCAAGATGGCACCCCAAAAGCCCCCAAGAGGCCCCCAGGAGGCCCCCCCCAAGAGACCCCCAAGAGGCCCCAACAGACCCCCCAGAGGCACCCAGGATGCTCCAAGAGGCCTTGGCGAGAATGCCAGAAAGGCCTCGGCGAGGAAACCGCAATCAATTGTTTTACAAAAGGTTGTGGCCCCATGTTGGCCTCCTGGGGGGGGGCGACGCTAATTAATGCCCCCCCCCCCTCTCGTTTGATCGATCTCCTTCAAGATGGCCCCAAGAAGCGCCCAGGAGGCCCCAAGAGGTCCCAAGATGGCCCCAACATGGCCCCAAGAGGCACCCAAGAGGCCCCCAGGAGGCCCCCAAGGGGCCCCCAAGAGGCCCCAAGAGACCCCCAAGAGGCACACAAGATGCCCCAAGAGGTCTCGGCGAGAATGCCAAATCATTGATACCACGAAGGTGTTAGCCACATGTTGGCCTCTTGGTGGGGAGCACTGATTAAGATGACTCTAAGAGCGCGTGGGAGAGCCCAAGATGACCTCCAAGATGGCTCCAGATATCCCAAGATGCCTCATACTGGCTTCCTCTGCGTGCTGCCCACTTCCCCGATCCAAGGAATTCCTCTGGGAATCGTCTCTGGATGGGCTGGTGGGGGTCTGCGAGGCGTCAACAATTCGCGTCTGAAGTGGGCGCACTGGGCGGCCACTATTTGGGTCACAAGCGGCAGCAGAAAGGCAGGCAAAGAGACAAGGCGAGCTCTTGGATACCTGCCGTTCGAATCTGGTGCTCAACCGAGTCTGGCGCGCCTCGCCGGCTAGCGCGCGCAAGCCACGCGCCGACCAGCGAAGCAACTCAAAAGGCGGCTGGCAACGAACATCTAGATGGAGCGGCCGTCTCTCGCGGGCGTGCTCTACCTTCTACTCGCCTGCTGCTCCGCGAACGTAGTTCGCGGAAGCAGTCTTCTCACCTGCGCGCTCAACTTTGTCGAATTCGCGAACACAGCTCGCGAAATGCGGGCGGCTGCCTCCTCCTCCGCCATCGCCGGGGCCGGCCCGGGCCGCTGATGTCCGCGAGGTTGGGCGAACAGTCGCCTTGGCCGCTCTGGTCGTCGATGTCTGCGGCGAGATGACTGCGACGGGAGCTGGGCGCGATCTTCCTGCGCCGCCAGTGGCCCAGCTGGACGGCGCCGTGGTCGTAGCTGACTTCCCGTTCGCGATGTCGAGAATTAAATCGCGGCCGACGCCCCCGCCGCCGCGGGGTCAGCTCCCACGTCTCGCGGATCGCACCAAATCATGCCCACGATCTGCATGGTGCGAAGTTGACGGGGTAGTCACCGCAAGCGACCAGCCATGTCGTTCCCGTCAGGCGGTCGAACAAGGCCCACGGCCAGCGCCGCGAAGACGGACGTGCCGTACGCGACGAGGGTTGTGGGCACAGCGCAGCCTACCCCCCCTCTGAGCTCCCCGATCTCGACCGCTGAGGCTGGCCCGCGCATCATCTCGTGGAGCGCCAGGGGGCGGGCTTGCGACCCGCCCGCTGCTCCGCGCGCTGCCAGAAGCTCTGAGCTCTCTGATCTCGACAGCAGAGACAAGTCCACAGAGCGTCTCGTGGAGCGCCAGGGGCCGGGCTTGCAGCCCGACCGCTGCTCCGCAAGCTACGAACAACTCTAAGCCGAACGAAGACCTGCAGACAAGTTTGGGTGAGCGGCTCACAGCGCCCGGCAAGTGGCAACGCGCGCCGTGATCTTTTGCTGGTCGAGACAACCGATTGAGCGGGCAGCTTTTCCCTGGCCCTCTGCAGTGCCGCGATGCGCGCGGCAACGCGGCGCTGGACAAACAGGACGCGCGCTACTGCTCCCGGCAAAGAGGCGGGAGAGGTCTGGAAGTTGACCTCCAGCCGGCTCGTCGGCCTTCGCCTTGACCAGGTCGACGTGCCTGATCGGTGGCAGGGCGTCGACGTGCTCGTCCTGGCGGAGCGCCACTGCGCCGTCGGCGCCGCGGCGCTGGCGCACGTCGCAAGTGGCGGAGTCGTCGCAGTCGCCCTTCGTCTTGCCGATGGCGCTCTCGATGCGGCCGATGAGCCGGTCAATGTGATATTTGTGTCCAGCGACCTTCACATCGCGAGTGCGTCTGGACAGCGTCGCCGGCAACGCACTCACCCGGCGTTTCGCGTTTAACCTCGAGCTCCAGGCCACCGGTAGGTCGGACTAGCGCTGTGCTCCGGTGAGCGCGTGACTCGCGCGAGCTTCGTTGAGAAGGCTCGGGTGCGTCTTTGCAGCCCGTGCCCGGCTTGATGCAGCGCGGGAGCTCGGTCCGCTCGTCGGCGGACTCGCAGACTGGCACTTGCCTGGGGGCGGCTGCACTGCCGGGCGGCAGGGCGAAGATCGCGTCTCGCGGTGCTTCGCCTTGCCCTTGTATCTCGGCATAGGTCACACTCTGCAGGATGGTCTCCTCGACGTCCACGGCGACGCAGACCGGGTCCAGACGACGCTCCGTCTCCAGGGACAGCACGCACAATGGCGCGCGCTTCGCCGCCTCCCTAACGTCTCCAGGACTCCGGCGCCCACGTCGCGGAACCCTCTGAGCGCCGCGCGGCACCGGGCGGTCCTCGCGGCCTCGCCGCCGGGCCGGATCGCGTCTCAGGCGCCCTGGAGCGGTCGCCTCTCAAAACGCCTGCGCTTGACCCAGATATAGCGAGCTCCTCGTGGGCCAAGACATCGGCGTCGGTCTCGGCGGCGGCGCGCGCGTTGAGCGCGACTGCCCGGGAATCGCCGGCGACGCGATTGCCGGGCGCTTCTTCCCTGAAGCTCAGGAATGCTTCGCGCGCTCCTGGGTCGAGGCGCAACCCCGCGCGTCTTCCTCCTTCGCCCTCCTCCGACGCGGCGAAATCATCTAGGGCGGCACCGCGCCGATGGTAGTGACACTGCGCGCTGATGCCCTGGCGCTGGCGCTGCGTCTCGAGGTGATGGGGCCACTCGCGCGGTCGGTGGCCAAGTCCGGCTGCGGCGTGCTCGACAACGGCGTAGATCATCTGCTGGATGTCGTCGCTCTCCGACGACCCCAGCTCCTGGGCCAGATCCTCTTCCCCCTTGACTTGGGGCCAAACTGCCAACATCGCCTGCTGGATGTGTCCAGAAAAGTCCCTGCCGGTCTCCTCAAGTATAGCCAACAGCGCTGTTGGGGATCCTCCTCCAGTGGTGCTGGCAGCGTCCTCGTCGGTGGCATCGTCATCGAGCGCTCCATTTGGATTTTGTCTCGCGCCTGTTGCCATCAGCGTCTCGCCAAACAATGAACTGGATGATGCGGGCCTCCTTCCACTGCTCGCAAGTGAAAACATGGGCGTCAAACTTGACGCCGTAGTGATGAATTTGCTGTATATCACCAGGACTCTGAAGGGCCCAACGAATAACTAGGCAACGGGTGCAGCCGGGCCAATCGCCTATAATTTTCTGGCCGCGTAGTAGACATATGGCACGAACGTCTGGCAGCTGAAAGCATCTACGGGGTACGTGGCGAAGACCTTCGAGGGCGTTTGGGCGTGGCCGCGCGCGCGCGCGGTGATTTGCGCGCCCGTCGCATTGAAGGACCGGGCGCCCTGCAGCCTGCAGACCCCGTCGGCTCGGCG